ATTACCCTATTTTGTATTTGAAGAAAATTTCTTGCGATAAGATATTAAATTTTCTATTTTATTTAAATGCAATATATATATTAATACAATATATAGTATATGCACATATTATGTATTAATATATATTTATAGATATTAATTTAATATAAAAAAATCTAAAATTCGTGTTTAAACTCCTCCTTCGTGTTTAAACTCCTCCTTAAAGACCGTTACTTTAATGAAATAGATTGAATTAAGAAAACGAATAGACGGTGTTTTTTTTTGTTTTTATCGGCGGTCATAGTCTACAGCGCTCAATTCCGCTTTCTATCATAGAACCCATTCCTACACACTTACAAAACATTCGTTATCTTTTATATAAAAAAAAATAATCATTAGAAATAATTTATATGGCAGAACAACGTTTGTCGGATTACCTCTAATATACATATATATGTATTTATTAATAGAAAATTTTAATAAAGGTATCATATTACTTTACACGCTAAAAAACTACAATAAATAAGATATATATTGGGTTATGTAGTGTTAGGTAAAAAAATCGACATTTGTTGAATAAAGTATACATCTATTTTTTAAAAAATCTTAAACATCGTTTAATTAAGTTACTGATTTTGACTTAGTTGAAAAATGTTTGAACACATCTATTTTTGGGTGGTGATAAAATATTTTAGTGTGTTTTATATATTAAAAATATAGCTACTTAAATCAGTTTAAGTTTTAAATTAAAACACTTTTGTTAATTTTTTTTTGGCAGAGAGTGACGCGTCTTTATGACGAAAAGAAATTATTTAAAAGTTATAGGGATTTGAATAGTAAAGAAAATACAAGCACAAAAATTTTATTTAATTTATTAAAATTTGGCGTTGTATGGTCAGCCAAATTTCAATAAATTAAATAAAATCGAATCTGTCTTAAAACACTTTTATTTAAATAAAAAATAAAATTAATATAATCAAAATTTTGCCATCGTTAATAGAATGTAACATAAAAAATCAAAATTGCTGAAACTTTATTAATTTAAAAAAATAACCATTTTATTAAATAATTATAGTAGATACTATCGAGTCTGCATTTGCTAGCGGTTACTTATTTATTGGCAATTAGGTTTACCCAACGTTTTGACTCAAAGCTGATCATTTTCTGACACTTCATTCATTGATTTCTTGTTTTTAATCATTTTTATTAAGCATCATTTTATCTTGTGGTTTTAACTTATACTGCACGTTTTGCATCCACCCATAAAGTTTTAATCGAATTAAGATCAGTAGGCGTCTAGGTGGGCTCGTGAATATTACACGCTTAACAACGAATTAAACAGCAGCAATGCGGTTTAAGGAAAAGACAATAGTATGGTTAAGTTGCTGATATATCAAACTTTTTTACTCTACACCTAACTTTTGATTATACGTTTGTGTTTATTTGTAAAATTAATTTAAAAAATAAATAAATTTAATCATATAACTATGTAGTATCAGAAACATAATCTTTAATATAGTCAACACATTATTATTTATGTTATTATTATTGTAATTACATATTATTATATATATATTAATATATATAATCATTATATTATAATTAATAATATTAATAAAATTATAATTAATAATAATTATAATTTTATTATAATATTATAGTTATTATAATTATAATTATTATAATATTATAATTATTATATTATGTATATATAATAAAATATAGTATATATTATTTAATTTTATATATAACATAAAATAGGTAACATTTTCTATTTTATAGGAATATTTCCTATAGTTCTTATATTTCCTATATATATTATATATATATATATATAGTAATATATATAATATATATTATATAATTTCCTATAATAGGTAATATTTCCTATTTTATAAATTCATTATTCCTAAAAGGAATCTAATCTTAATCATAAACTTGATACCATGAATTTATCTTATTTTTATTTTATTTATTAATTTCATATTTTAACAATTGTATTCCGTATTTTAAGCCATTTTATTAAAAAGAGATTACCTTTAGTGTTTTATATTATATAAAATTTTTAGTATAATTATATTGTTTTTAACTTATTTTGATAAGACTGAACTTGTGTATTAGCGTTGACCTCTCAAAAAGATCCGTCAATTTTAACTATTAAACGTTGACGTTAAATTCTCTTGAAATCTATTAAAATAGATTAAGTTTTGTAGGTACAGTGCAAACTCATATAGTTGAACATGAAATAATTTTACTTCTTCTGCATTTAAAGGCATTCGCTGAAAAGTGTACAGATTTTATGAATCGGCTAAAAATATATATTAAAATTTAAATAAAATTGATAACAGTTTATAATTTGGTTATATGTTAAGGTTCTGCTATAATTATTGCTATCGTTGAAAGGTTTAAACTATTACCAAATAAAGATTAAATAAGTACTAAATCCAAATAATAGGACTGTCTTATGTGAATTGTTTTATTTTAATTTTATTTTATATTATTTTATTATATTTTAGTTTATTTTATTTTATTTTATTTTATTTTACTTTACTTTATCTTATTTTATTTTACTTTATTTTATTTTATTTAATTTTGTCTCATTTATTTTATTTTATTTTGCCTTATTTAAATTTTTTTTTATTAAGATATAAGATATATGATTAAGATATATGTTCTAACATTAAGTAAAATACACAATAAAAGTTTTAAAGCTTATATTGAGTTAATACCGAGATGATCCTATACATTGTGCTGCATAAGTGGTTGTACATGGCTTAAGATTTTGATGCATAAATCTATGAAATGGGTTTTCACAAATGTGACCGTTTGTCATCAAAGTTCTATCTAAAATGCTGTATAATATTAAAATATTGTGGCATTATTTTTTGCCTATCTAGCCTGTCAATGGCAATGTAATCAACGTTTTCTCTAAAGTACCCAAATGATATTGGGTCTATATTGACTGTCTGCTGTGCCAAAAATTTTGTTTATAGGTATATCTAAATTACAAAATCTATTTACCATACTTTCCAAGCGGACTTTTCAAGGTATTTTCCAAGAATCAAAATTAAACTTTTAAATTCAAATGTCAAATCGTATATAATGATATATTTTTAAACAATTTTAAAAAAATATTTCTGTTCAGATCAGATGCGATCGCGGGTCAATATAAATCACTGTACAGATTGAAGGGCCGCAGAAACAACTACATACATAGTTGTTTTCGACAAAAATAAAAATACGGTTATAATGTTAAATTTAGTTTTATTAATTTATCAATATAAATTAATTTATTGGGTATGCCATAAAAATAAATAATGTGGTTTTAACAGTACGCCAAAAGATAATTTGCGTAATTGTAGTAGATTAAAAACATATTGTGGGTCGCACGAGTATTAACATGCGACCCGCGGGCCGTGCTTTGGACAGTCCTGTTCTATTATATATATAATTTTAATCATGAATATTTTTATATGCTGAAAAATACCATGTAAAAAAATCTCTTTATATGAATGCTTAAATTGAATACAAATTCATTGAAAATTATTTGTTTTTCATACTTATAAGCTCGATTACTAAATAACAAAAATAATGACTTCTTTTAAAAATAAACTTTAAGCAATTGATGATTTAAGCAAATAATAAAATAATAGTGACTTTACTGTACTTATTTTTCGAAATACCTAATTTGCGTCTCAAAATAATAATATCTAATACGGAAAGATTAATTTAAAGCAGTACTTGAAGTAAACATCAATTACAAAATATCCACCTTGATGTATAGAATTGAAAATTATATTTAGATTGTATTAAAATAATATATGAAATGAAACTATAAAATTAAAAGAGCGAAACGCATATGCATCTGCAATAAATGCTCAGTTGTTTTTTTATTTTCAGATAGCAAGAGTAGATACTAGTAGTCAACTTACTAACTAGATAAACTGCTAAGTAAAAACCAATTGATTGCAAAAATTAAAACACAAAAAAAACAACAACATTTGGTAAGAGCTGTTTATCCATGTGCATACGTCCGTTCCACTGTATTTCTCCAAGACCATAGAAATTTTTTGTTTTGACTTGCGAGTGAACTCAAACGATGTCGTCACCTCAATAGTTCCAGAGTTCAGATTATATATGAGTCTACGTCTGCTTCAGTATTTGCACGTGCTCCTTCTCCATTCAAGCCAAAATCTTTTAACGCTTGTTAGTTGGAACGGAAACTGAAACTGAACCGCAGCTTTATTTCGTTTGTTCAGATGTGTCGGCAAATTTGCTTAACTCAGTTTCAAATAAACCTTTGTTGCGTGCGGAAATACTTTGTTAGCATCGATCTTTCAAACAAATTTTGATTTCGCCTATTTTTTTCTTTTTTTTTTTAATTAATAAAGGATGTTAAATATTTTTTAAAAACTGAAATCAAAATAATAAAATAAATATATTATTAAGAAAAAAATATATTAAGAAAAAAGTAAGAGTGTTTTTAGTTGCATATGCAATGTTTAAATATTTTGAAATTTAATTTAAAAAATTTTAAAAATTTTAATTCGATCAATTTTAGCGCGAATAATCAATATAATAAAAATTAAATCAAAAATTTTATAAATTTATAATTTGCTATAAATTTTTTATAATTAATAAAAAAATAAAATTTAATTTATATATATTTTTAATTGTCTACATAATATGAGATAAATATTCTAATCATATTTTATTAACAGAAAATTTTATTTTAATTTTTTATTTTTTATTTTCAATATAATAAAAATTAAATCAAAAATTTTAGAAATGTATAATTTGCTACAAATTTTTTATAATTAATATAAAAATAAAGTTTAGTTTATATATATTGTTATGAGATAAATCATATTTTATTAACAGAAAAATTTATGAACAAATAAACCTTTCAACCCTTCCATCTAAAAATTAAAGAATTATATAAATTTTTCTTTACTTTTAAAAATATTTAAAAATAAATTTTGTAACTACATTTTCACGATCGAAAAACTGTGCAATAAAATAAATAAAATACTAAAATTAATAATACAATTCCTTTCAGGTAAATATTAATTATTTTAATCTCATATTTAATATAAAAGACATTTTAAAAATAATTATATTACAATAAATATTGAAAGTTTGTATAAAAATTCTGAATTCAGTGAATTATGTATTAGAGATCAATAGTGAGCTCTTCTATGTGAATGCATGGATAGCAAAATTATCCTCATTTTATTTGCTAGTGTTACTATTGCTGAAATAATACAAAAAATCTACTAAGAACAGCTCCTACTCTTATGTATTTATTTGTTGATGAGCCTCATTTTAATTGCAAGTGTCCTTATCAGTGGAATAGCGTAGAAGATCTACTGGGATCACAGTGTACCTTGATCGAAAGGACCAAATGCTCTGTTAAGTATGTATCTGTTAGCGAAGCTAATTTTAATTACTAGTGTTTACAGTGTACCGATCAACTAGGATCATATGCCTCTATTAAGTTTCTACACTACTAGTGACATTAATTTTAATTACTAGTGTTAGTTAGGGAAATTAATTACTAATGTTAGTGAAATAATACAAAAGACCTACTGTGATTGCGGTGCACTGATCAACTAAGACTATATGTCTCTGTTAAGTGTCTACACAACTAGTGACATTAATTTTTATTACTAGTGTTACTTTCAGTGAAATAATACAAAAAATAGGTACAGTAGTATTCTTAGTGTACCGATTCACTAAAAGAAGCTGCTCCTGTTATGTATATGTACATCTCTTAGTACCACTGATTTTAAATACGAGTGTTACTACCGTTGAAATAATACAAAACACCTACTTTGACCGCAGTCTCACTTAAATTACCACCGATACCATTAGCACAACAGTATGAAGGATATGCCTAAATCGTAGTGTATCTATCCACAATCAGCAGCCGCTCCCATTATGTATGCAACTATTAGTATAACTCACTTCAGTCACCACAGTTGGTATTTGTGGAGTAGAACAAAATTTACTACTGTAGACTGCAATGCTTAAATCGACTGGAAACCTACTAAAATTCACTGTTATCTCTTTGTCTGTACGTGGACTATTTTTAATGCAAATAATATTAATTAATTCCATTCTAAGAATAATTACAATTTTTGCTATTTACAACCTGGCTTAATGCCTGAGATACATATATACATATTTTTATATACATTCGCTTATATATGTCGAATGGTTCATTTTAAAAGTCGAATTTGTCTTTTTTTAGTATTTGACAAAAAAAATTTTTTTGGAGTTTTTGTAATGAAATGTTTAAATATTGTTTTACAATCTTGCATGTGCTACTTTCTGTAAACTTGTACATATAAACAGGTTCAAAAGCTTTTCGTAATACTAAAATTATTTTCGTTTTTATAATTAAATTTTATTTGCTTCCATTGAAACGCTACATTGAATACTCTTACTACATTCGAGTAAACTTAATTTTGGAAATTTGAGACAAAATTTAAATAACATAAGTACTTTTATGAATGAACGAGTGTAGAGAAAAATGTTAAAATTTATATGCATTAAAACAAAAAAAAAATATTAATGAGGAGAAAATTAGTAATCTAAAAAAAAAGTATATATATATGCTTTTTTCCATATATACTTAGTCTTTTATTTATGAGTAAATCGTTTTAAAAACAAACCAAAACAACATTGCCGTATTATGAAATTATATCATTAAAAAATATAGTATAATTGCAATAATGATTTCTAAAATGAAAATGTATATATATGTCTTTTTAATTTATAAAAAATAAAAGTTATTACGTAATAAATAAATAAAAATAAACACAAATCTACTTAGAATACTAATATATATATTAAAAAATTATATCATTAAAAACAAAACACATATGCAATAATAATTTCAAATTTAAAAATAAATATATATTTATTTTTCATAAATAATATTTATTTTAAGAAAATAATTAAATAAAAAAGAGCTTATATAACATATAATATATACATATAACATATAATAAATATATAATAATAATATAATATAACTACCAAATATAACAATATAATTAATACATTTAAATAAGTAGCAAAATGCTATGTACATATTATCACGTATTATTATCAGTGTATACAATTACCGTTAATATATATCGGACATTCTTTTACAAATCGGATGGATTTTGGCAAAAAAATGACCTCATCACGTCTGATTTGGTTGAAATTTTTTTATATTTTTTTCTTTCATAAAATAACAAGGCCCCTATCTCAGGAAAAAATTTTGGAATTTTTTTCTAGGAGATATATGTATGGACCTATGGGGTTAAATTTTTAAACATATATACGTTTATAACCATTACACAACAAAATACTTATGCAAAAATTATCATAAATTTATAACAAATATAAAATATTTAAATAAAAAGACAGTTGTCAGCTACGTAATAAAACAGCTATAGGGCGAAGGACCTGGTAGTCCAGTCCCTTATTCTTAGTTAACTGTAAAATTAATTTTAATGTAACTCACAAATAAATAAATAAAATAAAATAGCAACTAAAATTAATAAGAGCCAAGTATCAAACCTATAAACATCTATAAGTATATATTTGAATATTGATAAAATATAATTATAATAATGTTTAAAAATCAATAAAAGTATTTCTATAAAAAATTAAAATGAAACATAAAAATTAAATTTTATAATAATAACTTATTATAATAATAACTTTTTAGTGGTAAAAATATCAATAACTGATCATAACTGATTATGTTAAATATTATAAAATTATTTCTATTATAAATATAAAAACATTTATATAAAATTTTATTTCTATTCTAACACAATTTGTCAGAGAATTAATATTGCTTTTTTTAAATTAAAAAATCAAATTTATACCAAATTACATTATATTTATTAAAGTTAATCTATAAAAGATAAAGTCTTTATTTTAATTTTATTTTTATTATTGCATGTAGTAACCTAGTATATATATATGTAGTATTTATTTCTTTAAATGTATAACAGAAATAATTTATAAAACCAACTAGTTCTTTTAAAGACTACTGATAATGGATAATGATAAGTAAAGTATAATACTTATCATAAGGTTAATAATATATAACATATAATATATACATAATATATATCAGGTACTTTATATTAGTAAAAAATTCGTTAAATAAAAAATTAAATTTTTTTATTATCTATCATCAAATTATTTTGCTATTAGTCATGTTTATATCAAAAATAGAGACATTAAAATAGACAGACATAAAAATATCATCATAATATAAACTACATAATTATATCGTTGAGTTTATAATTATATCGTTGAGTTTACAATTATATCGTTTACAATTCCTGCGGGCTATTGGTCAATAATATCGGCAAGACGAATTTTATATCGGTCAAGTGAATTATTCAACATAGACACGCAACAACAAGTAAGCCATTAGGGTTTACAAGTGATAAAATTCGATTACTTCAAATTTATTTTAGCTTAGCTTTTAAGCCAAACATAGATTTGACACATTGCCATATTTTCTTGTTAAATACAGATAAAGCATAATTTCTTTTTTCATTTTAAATGCAATGGAACACTACTTATGCTTGCAGCTTACTTAATAATATAATTATGTAAATTAAGGAGAAAATATTTAAAGTTTTTCTGGTTGCTGCACTGTAATAAACTGCAACTTTAAATTACTATGATTTTGAAAAAGTTAATGCATTGGGCAATTTGTTATTTTTTTTATTTGACAGTTGACAGTTTAGTGTATTTTCCTTAAATATTTCATTGAGATTTAAGTGTTGAAAGTTATTGCAAAAAAAAAATGTATGCAATATTATATATATATATTTTAAAAAATATTTACTATTTTACGATAACACGTGAAAGATTGATAACATTAAAGTGAAGATAAACTATGGTATTTAACTGGCACAAAATTTAAAGGATACATCTCACTGTAATCTACAATTACTTTAAAATGTCCGTTCTAAATAGTGGCAACATCATTAAGAAACTGCAGCTAAAATATTTTGAAACTCGATGCTTAGTACTTAAGATCACTTTGAATTAAGTGAATAGGTAATAATTTAATAGGTCAAATTTTTTTCCGGGAATTATTATAAAAATTGATCGAAATTGCATGTGGTAGATTAAATTAGATTGGATTACTACGTCACTGCATCTTTGAGGATTATTGCAACATACCTATTTTAGTTCCATAGGCGCATAGCAGATAAAAATGCAATTATGTATATGCCTTGGAGGAATGTTGCCCATTGCTGTAACAAGTGAATAGGTAGTTGATAAGTGCCGAAGTCAAAGTCTAACGAGACTTTCACAGTGACGTAGAATGTATTCTGCTGTTTCCTCTAAATCATGACAAAGTTTGCAGCTATTATCTTTTATGATACCTAGATTCGATAGATGCTTCTTAACTCCACAATATCCAGTGAGGAGCCCTGTGATAAGTCGAATGACTTTCCTGTTCAGCATTAGCAGCTGCCAAGTTTTGGCTTTTGAGCGATTTGTCATGAATTCTTTAGCATGTTATATCAATTAATCTCAATAGTGAAAAAATATACGTAGTAAATTTTAATATACCGGTTGACTATATGGAAGGTTTTGTTGTACGATTGGCAAAGTTTCAAAGGAGTTATCTACTGTCAACTACTATCGCATGGCTAAAAAATTGATTTCTTGCTCTGACAGCCATTACTCTAAAAAAAAAAAAAATTAAAATTATTAAAAAAACAAATATGTAGTATTTCATGAGGGTCGGCTACATACATCATCAGGATCCGACAAAAATTGATGGATTTTAGATTTGAAGTCATCTACTTAATTATAATTTTTCTGGTATTGCAATATTTGCTTTGAATACTGCAAAATATAATTAAAATATTATTAAATATTATAGATTATAATATATTACGAATAGATTTTATAAGGATAGTTAAATTGTTTTTAATTATTACAATATATTATAAATAAATTATTAATAGCAGACAACAATCTATTTTTAATAGATTATAATGATTTTAATCAATTTTTAGT